CAGCGTAGAGTTAGGGAACACTGCTGTCCGTAGAGCGATATTGGTGGATAGGTCGTTGCATTCCTCGTGACGAATGTCAGCATTTTCGTGGGAAGGGACAGTCACCGATCATCTACACCGATACAAGGTCACCGATCACGTCGTACTTCCAAACGGAGGTCGAGTAAAGTGAACCTCAAAATCATTAAAATGCCCTAGGTTTTGTTCGTCGCATGACTATTCTTGGAATACCAGGTCGACAAATGTTCGTGATGTTTAGAAGTAGCCATTATATCTAAGAGCCTGCAATGCTGTACAAAGTTAGATGATCTCACACTTGTACCATCGAGAACCAAATTGGAAGTAGCCAGGTGGATGGTTGTCTGAAGATTATTCTACCCCAGTTCAACTGTTCCAGGCACAGGCAACGAATGGCTGATCACCACAAATAAGTTTGTCAACGAATTCGTGGGGCAATGAGTAGAATATACTTACTGCTTTGATCGGCAATTGATGATTAGGTGTAGATATAACTGGCAGAGATAACTCGCTTCCGGTCGCATGGCCAACAAATGTTGTGCAATGACCAGACCAGGAGCTCGGTTGGTTTTCTCGTCAACGCCACAAAAGTAAAAGCTTTCCCAAACTTTGTCCATGATCATGAGAACAAAAATGATCTAGTCTAGCTGTTGCCACGAGAAGTGATATCGGCTCCAGAATCGTGTACGCTGACGGGGGTTGTGTCCGTCTTCGATAGCACCAATGAACTCGCCGCGATATCATAACCAGCACAAAGTCCTCTTTGTGCTGATGGCCCGTCTGAACACTCCCCCCCTTAAGAATACTGGACTTCGTTTCGATAAACTCGGTAGTATTCATCCATAGTTGGTTGGTGGCCGTGCAGTGGGTGATACATGCATGCTTCTGCTCAAATAGGAAAGTGAATTTCTCTAATATTATGGAGATTTGGTTCATTGAAAATCTGAATAAAGGCCGAGCAACGCTATTGTATTCGCCAATGAAAAGTCCTCATCTGTTTGGGAAACTATGACCTTTTTGAAACTGTCAGCCGTCGTTCAATTTATTGACTCCATTTGCCACTTTGTCATCTGTCCCCATTCCCACTTATTGTTGTCGTCTTTTCTATTATCTTTTTTTCTGCTATTTTGATTCCATATTTCCTATTGTGCCATGTAACTTCTTTCAAAAAAGAGTGAATTCTACTTTCTTCAGTTAATGATGTCGACTAAGTCGGAATACGCACAAGTTGTCGAGGCGTGTTTGCGCTTAGTGCAGGACCGAATTGCACGTCGGCACACATTTTACGAGTTTTCTAAAGACAGCATCGATGCTGGAGTATTTCAAAGTGGATTTCTCTGCTGTCGAACGCCGACTGACACGGCGTCTTCTCGAACACCGCTCCGTTTAGATGAATTGGCTAGCTTCAGTGTTCATTACCCAACTGAAAATAATGCTAATTGGAGGATCTCCGCCGCTAGTCTTCACTATATCCCCCGTGCCTTTCCAGACGCTGCCAAAACAGCCCTCTTTGGCGTCTGTATACCCCTTGCCGGTCCCCATGACGCCTCAGCTTTCAGTCTCGACGTGACCATGGAACCCTCGTTACCATCCTCATTGTGGAGATCGATAGTCGTAAGTTTGCCCCCGACAAAAACGCTTTATCTTGTTGCAATTACATCGAACAACCTCCTTGAGATGGTCTCATCCCACGGCAGCCCTGACAAACTCCTACTCCACTTAGCGATTAACTACCGCTGTGGCGTCGACGGCGCAGAACGTGTGCTGCTTTCGTGTCCACTCATACTTTCTTTACCCCAGTTCCTCATGGGTGCCTATGATCCGCCCTTTCGAGAGGCAGGTGCCGATACGATGCTAAGGTGGACAGCGATTGCTGGTGCCGTGAATCCGCGCATGCTGTCACTGCGGCCTACAACCTCAACCCCGTCATTTGGTTCAGTTCTGCAGCTCTTGCTGCATGATCATGAAGCCGGGCGTCCTAGAAGTTTCCAGAGGTGGGCGTGGATATCAAGAGGCTTTCTAACGGGTTGTTGCATTCGCGTACACGAAGGTGACGATCATCCTTTACTCCAGCTTCTTGTTCCGTAAGTTTCAAAACATGTTGCCTTTTTTCGTTGACCTATTTGTCTTCCTTCCGATGTAAAGCTTAGCTTTTGGGTTCCGTTTTTAGTTATGTGGCATCTGCTCGCCTCCGATGCAATGCTTGCAGTTCAATATTACCGGGCTACCCTTCAGTTGGTTCGCCGTTTGCGTCTTGTTTCTCTGTGCTCAAAGTATTTGCGTTTGCGCCATCAAGAATAGATACTCTTGAATATACTTGCCTTTAAGTGTTTGCTGGCTTTAACTTAATCAGAAGATTACACGTTATGGTTGTCGGGAGAAGTTGGAAATCCTTGTAGATCCCATATAAGGCTCAAGAATAACTTTTCACCTAGCGTTCAATAGTCAGTAAAAATAGATTAACCTAAACAACCAGGCAAGATTATACCGCTGAAAGGATTTTAATTACGGACTCTTCTAGGGTCCGGGTACCCTACCGATGGAACCACCTATGACCGTTACCTGCGAGTCTGTCATAAATTTCTTATTGTTGATCTTAGGAAGAGGCGCACTTGGGTCAGTCGTTGCAACAGAAAAACGCGACGTGGAAAACCAGAGGGGTAAAGTGAGAGACTGTAACTGTTTGATGCATTGTATTGAATAGTTGAGATTATGTAACTCTGCTTTTGCAAAAAGTGGTCGCGTGGTGTGTAAACATTTGCCTTAATAATCGAAAATATAATGGAGCCTATCTTGGCGGATAGTGCGACCTGCTTCTTTCCACAACGCGGTTAAAATTGGCTAACACGAACTCGTCAGTCCTATGACTGATACTCTGGGGATACATTCCAGACTGTATCCTAGTTTTTTTAATACCCAAACTTTCTCATAACCATAATTTATGCTTAAGACAGGCTTTGCTGTGGAATTTTCATTGTTCACACCAGTCTCCAGGAGATCTGCTTCACTGGGTACTCCTGCGGTTGTTTGCTTTGAGATATTTTCATTTCCCAGAATAGATATAGGTAAGGCTAAAACTGTGAATGAATAGGAATTTGCTGATCTGCCATTTACGTGCTTGTTGCCCGTACAACACTTGGCAGTCCCAACCTAGTTGCAAAAATAATGCCAACCCTAATATAGGGTAGGCCATAAGCCGTTTTACCTTTTGCTCCTTCAATATATTTTATGCGATAAGGAGAATTATGGACCATCCTATATAAATACGCTAACAGCTCGCTGTTTGACGAGGAGGCCTTCAGTTCCCACTCTCCTAGCACGAACCTTCTCCTCTTGTCTATTCTTGATCTCCCTGTCCTTTTCGTCCTTCTCGTTCACCTTCTTCCCATAATAGTAATAGTAATAATAATAATCACCTCCTTTATTCCTCGGTTACTCCACTTTTCACTTCTTTTTTTATTTTTCCAGCCCAAAGCTCCTTCCAGTTGCGACCAAGTGTCTACTGTCTGAGAGCTTATCCGAGCAGACGGGGCTCTGTCTTTCTAAATATGAGCCTAAGGTCGTCAGCCGAGCCAAGGACTTAGAGCCCCGGCTTCACCCTGTGTTGCTCGCATTGCTTGAGGAAGTTAGGCGAACGGCTGACCTTCTGAAAACTGTTATTGGAGAAATCATGCGGGAGCGAGTCCCCCTCACGGCAGACATAACGCCGCTGGTCAATACCCTCACAGCAGCGGATACTCTCTCTGACTGGCGCGCTCGTGCCACTGCCAATGACCTTAACTGGGCACTCCTCAAGGCAACTCTGTTGAAAGAGAAAAGTCGTCTTGCTCAGCTGGCGTGCGCCAGACAGCGTTCTGACGCGCTCATGCGGCGTTTCTGTCTAGGCTGAACCAGCTAACGCCGGCATGTTCTTTGTTCCCCTCCCGTCAGAGACGAGACTGTCTACTTTTATGTATTTTTCTACTTTATGTGTATTTTCAGAGTCAATTACATGATTACAACTCATCCTTGATCATGATGTTGACATTTTCACCAGATTGTGACATGCGGATGCTCATCTGCGTCACGTGCTTTCCGCCCACCTCCTCTTTCGTCAAGACGCCGTCGTTATTTTCGTCCTTTTCAAGGAATAGGTGCTCTGTTTCCGCCCTCGCCTGGGTGTCAACATCTGAAAAGAGTGAAGATGGGAATAGAAAGGATAAGTTCCCTCAAGTGCATAACCTGGACGCTCGATTTTTGACAAAACGTCTCCGCTTCCCTTTAAAACTTAAAGGCGCAGGAACGCGGTTACATTTGCTTCGTGCTGTGTGACTGTTACATCCTACTCTGCGCCAACTCGTCCATATGCGTTGATGAAGTCTTTGTCGGTTTAAGGAAACCCTGAACGCATGTTTCGGGCAAGAATTAAAGCCCAGTGCAAGGTTGGGCATATGATCTTCATGTTCCACGAGCCCTTTTGAACTACTCAACAGTCTTGGTCTCCACAATCTGAAATGTGGAAGGCAATGACTTCTTTCCCGACCAGCTGTGCATGCTCAGTCAAACAAGTAATTGTCCTCTCTAGCCATGACCAGTGATCTTATGCACCGAATTGGGCTTGGGGCCACGTTGCGCTTCAGCTTCTATGGCCAGCGTCAAATGGAGTATTGCCTCTGTGCATTCAGGCATATCTTGACTTTCTTCTGAGTTATTATAGATGATCATGTTCACCGATTATCAGAAGTCGCTCCAAGTTTGCCTTCGCATGTTTTCCCTCGCCATTTTTTAGCTGTTAGATGGGTAGGCCCATTGCTTATGCTATGACTTGGATCGGTAAGAGGCTTGCTGGAGAGTTATTGACCTGGTCTCCTCGTGTGTAGTTGGTTGTTCATAGCTTCTGATCCTGAGGCTGGGATATTTGTGTGCAAATGCGCATCGCATTGATTTTGCTGAGTCTTCTTCGTGACGGCGCTGGTTGGATTGTTGCAAGCGTAGCTCTTCGGTCGGCCGAAAGACCAGCTGAATCTTGGTTCGGCGCCTTCCGGTTGGGTGTTTACGTAAGTCATTGAGTGTCTAGAAACTTTAGTGTCGGTACTGATAATAGCGCTCAAGTCAAAAGCAAGTGACAATGGTACGCCCACCCTCGAGGTCAGGTATACGGTCTGTCGACTCTTCTCGTGGACAACAGCAAGCACACACGAGCAATGTAAGTGGAGGTCTTCCAACACAAGATGGGCCTGTTTCGCTTGCCGCATACTGCTCACGTCTTTTCACAGTTCGAAACGCCAAATCATTGGACAGTCACTTGCTTATTAGGATAGTAAAATTCTTGATTGGAAGAGAATGTCCCCGTGTACCTGGGGAGGTTTGTGGTTCGCGTGTTTGTTTGTCTACTACAAGGCATTTTCAGCTGACTGAAAAAAAACATGGGGGTAAGAGGCTCAGTCTAATCCGAAGACTGCTCCTCCGGGGTTTCCCGATAACCTCATCGTGGCTTACAGGCAAAACAAAGTTGGATGTGTCACTAGAAATACACTGATGACCAGCGAGGAATAGCCTGACTTTGAAGCAGGCATTTGGCCCTACGTTAGCCTGTTGCACCGAACTTGGCAATCTAGCCAACCCCCGCTCCTATGCATAGGAGCAGGATACCTTCGAGCCACTTATGAACTAAGACAGGTAAATGAGTTAGCTTGCGTTCTCAACATTCCGGATAACAGCGCGTCAATAAAGCATCCAAGATACTGAGCCTTGAAAGACAGTTCGGCCGTCGCAAGCGGCGATTTCGACTGCGCGCCTTACGTATTGGGCGTAGCACCGGGGACTTACGTGCGGATCAGTTTGTAGCGGGGCAGGCTTGCACAGTATCTACCGCACTCACTCTTTCGTCTCCCACTTTATGCCGGCGAGAAGACGACTCTAAGATTGTCGGATGTGGGCGCGGACGCAGTCGTTAACAGAGCTGAACGACTTATCTATGCGTGTCGCGCGCGACCACTGTATATATCAGACCACAGTAAGGGCGACTCGGATCTCGCACGAATAAGGCTGCCATAAAGACCACCGTGAACCCCAGTGATGATACTGATCTTGGCAACATCGCGGAAGTCGCGCACGACAAATTCCATTTGTACACCTTCACGGAAGTGGGACCTAAAATGACATTTTGTCCGGTAGCACAGAACCTCTGCGCATAGCAAGCAAACCAGAAAACTTACTCCTCTTGTAGTGGCTGGTCAACTCCTCTGTGTCAATCAGTCCATTCCCATCAGTGTCGATCTCCTTAAATTTGGACCGCTCGTATTCCTCCAGATACTTGTCTGTTTCCTCTGCAAAAAAGGAGTGACAGGGAGATTGAATGCATCCTCAACCAGGCCAGCCCTATTATCTGTTTCTCGAGCCGCGTCGTAGTTTACTTTGCACTGAAGTCGGCTCACCTACCTGAGGACACATATTCGTTCCGGGATAGGTGGCCGTCCCCATTTTTGTCCAAGTGCTGGATGGTCTCATTAGCAGCGTAGGCAGCCATGTGCTCGTAGTGGAAGGGGTTCTGAAAACCGGCCAGTTCCTCAGCTGTTAGCCCGCCGTCCCCATCCAAGTCGGCCAGCTGGAATTTCTGCCGCTCCTCCTCTATGGTCTACACAAGTGAGGAATGAGGACAGGAAAAAAGAGGCGAGAACGCTAAGCGCAGAACCTGCTTACCGAGATGAGGCTCTGAACATCCGTTGTGTCGTCCTTTCTGAGGCGGTCAAGATCCTCGGTCGAGTAGCCAAAGGTGTAGATGATGTATTCGTTAAAAGAGACTTGACCATCACCGTCTCGATCAATCCTTTCTAACAGATTCTGGGCACTCTTCTTGTCCTCATCCCTTATAAAAACAGAATTTAAGCAAGGAAGTAGCACTTATAGTAGAGGGGTGCTCACAAATCGTCTCTACGGAAGTCGTTCCGTTGTTTCGTACGCGCTTTCTCGAGCCCAACCAGCAGCTGCACAGCGGCGCATGATATAGGCAGAATGTTATTACCGACCGCGACCGACAGGACCACGAGCCCGTGGCCCAGGTGTTAAAGATGTTGGACTTCTAACAAACAGGTCGCGGGATCGAGCCTCAGGTGTTGCGCACTTCGGGGTTGGGTATGAATAGCTGACGACAGCTAATAAGCCAGAAATGGCCATTCCAGCCACCCTTGTCTTTGTTGGTAATAAAATACTGCCTATATCATGAGCCGCTGTGCGGCTGCCGGTTAGGCTCAAGAGGGAGCCCGTAAGGCACAACGGGACGAGTGATTTCCGTAGAAACGATCGGTGAGCGCCCCTCTACCATTGTATGTTTCCGATCGCAACCGACAAGAATACGAGCCCATGGCTCAGTGCTTAGAGGCGTGGACTTCTAACAGGTCGCAGGACCGAGCCCCAGGTGTTCCACGCCTCGGGGTTGGGTATGACTGGCTGACGACGGCTAATAAGCCAGAAATGGCCATGCCAGTCTCCCTTGTTCTTGTCGGTAATGCCACTCTGCCAGTAGCACTTATGCACAAATTCTTTGTGCGCAGAGCGGATGGATATGCCTTACAGCCTCAACTCCAACTCACGGTGGTCGCAACCGAAAACCGCAGTTCAACAGCTGCGGTTGCTCGGATAGGCCAATTGGTGAGTTTGCTTCAACAAAGTCTTCGCTTGAAATTTAACTCAAATGACACGATAAGATGAGGGGGGGGGATATCGATTTCTCCGCACCACTGGCAGACACAACTGCAATAGCTCGGGAGTAGAGTGTCGGACAAATTGTGAAGTCAGCGAGTGCATTGCGTTTCACAGTAACGGTTTGCTGGTCGAGTAAGTTACCTAATTCACGTAATTCGCCCCGGTGGCATGCCCTCATTAGAAAATGGCCGACAAACACAGACGTTTCGGGCATACGCGGTGTCGTCTGCGGGCAGCCACAGTAGAGAGCGCATGCTCCGTAGAGATACCAAACTGAGAAGTCGGAGTTAGCTTGCTTTGAGACGCTAACCGCGGCTGTGTTTGCCCACTGCGATTTTTTGTCCTGGTTGTCTAGAGGACTCGTGCAGTAACGCCACTAACAGATGCTACGTGCAGGATTTACTGGACGACGGCACTAGCTTTAGGTGTTACCAGCCGACGATCTGGCAAATCGGCTGCACGTAAAGAGCCACCAACCGCGGCAGTGCTATGACATTGCGAGTATTGCTCGCCGGCAAATGAGGCTTCGCAAGTCGTCCGTCGCAATCCCTGAAAACCAATCTGTTGTGCTGAAGGAGGAGGAGTCGATGGAAACGCCCAGATACCACAGGAGACCGACCGACTCTACTCATTGGGTCACAGTTCACCACCAGGCTTGTGGAGGTTCACATGCTGGCCAAATTCTTAGTAGAATGCAATGGCAAAAACGGAAGAACCCAATCTATCAACACGCTTCCGACAGCCATCCAGAATTGACGATGGAGCTTTGTCAGCGATAATACACTCTCACGGTGTTCGACTTGCGCGTTTGGGGGGAGGGAAGGACGGTTCTTGAACAGTTCGTTGGTGAACGAATAGACAAGCATCGTGGCATGCGCGTCTCCAGCAGAGTCCCTCACTAAACCCGCAAAAAAACGCACCTAGGTGCGCAAATTCCCATCCTTCTTATTTGAGCACTCACGTCCTCGTACGGGGGAGACAGCTTTCAATTGATCTGACGGGGGAAGTACGACGAGTCTGAGGTTCACGAGCCATTTAAACGAGCAAAAACGCTAGTGGCTGTCGTCAACACTGAGACTGTTGCCAACAGCGCATACACGACGAAGAATGTTCCGACGTGGACTGGGCGTCCTATGTTATGAATACCAATGGGGTAGACTGAAAAGTAGCTATCTCTCGCCCCTGGAATCAACTTCAAGATCGTGCTGGATCCCCTGAACGCCCTGACCCCGGTAGCACTTCAAAATCTGTTCATAATGCCCTCGAGAAGGGCGTCAGATAAACTAACCTCCCAATAACGGTGATTCAATATTAACGCGCACATTCTTAAACTATGCACTTCCTACTAAACCTTAAGTGGTTTAAGTGTTGAGACTTGTTCGACTGGACATACATCATTATGATTTTCACTCAGAAAATATAGAAGGTGAGTATGCTTCCAAAGGTGTCATTCTCGGGACAGACAGCTAAACGTCAGCTAAACCACTGTAGTCCAAGGAAATGAATAGGGTGAAGAGACTGTCGAAGGCATCATTTCCAAGGCAGACATCAGCCCAACGAACGTCAGGAAGGAGCAGGTTTTGCAGATCTTGTCAACTTACCGGAACACCTTATTCAACCAAGTTCTTAACTCCTCTCTATCGACCTGGCCGTCCTTGGAAGTGTCAACTTGATCAAAATGGGTGCGTAACATCTTTCCAAACTCCTCCGACGGCAGTTCCGCGAGATGCCCGGTCATTTTTTGCGCAAATTCATCCTTCTCCTCTCCGGCCACGCCTAGTGCGTCGAAGTCCAAGTCTTGCAGCGAACACACGCGGGCCGCCATGCATGCACAGACAAACAGCCACAAAAGCCCTAGTGGCATTGTCACCCTTGTGGAAGCGGACTTGAGGCAAAGGGGTTGTTGCGACAGAGAGGGAGAGCGCCTAAAACAGCCTTTTTATTGTTAGGGGAGAAAAATGCGGGCAGCTTGCTGGCCAGTCGACTTACGCCACAAGTGAAAACCGGCATTCCACGTGCAATTACCTCACTGGTCAAGATGTGTGTCTTCTGATAGCACAGCCAAAAGTGGGACTAAATCGGACCGTTTCAATGCACATGAGTCATTTTGCAGGGAAAGAGGGGACGGACAGGCTAGGGACATACTGCAAAACCGGAACGTTTTGCATATACACTACACTTCTTTCTAGTTCGAGCGGCGAGAGGGGCAGTCTAGGAATGGCTGATAGCAAAAAAGTGGTTTTCATGTATGGATGAAATCATCGGGCATTTTAGACAGTCAAGTAGACCGAAAAGCGGTAGCCAGGTGCTGGGTGGAGGATACTAGACCTGAACTAATTGCACTGCCGAGATATACCGGGCGAGATGGGGCAGACTGTGTCGGTGACTGTTTCGGCATCATCTGCGCATCACTTAGTCAATTATACCACTTTGTTGCATCTACGACTGGGTGGAAACTGATGAATCAACGACACCACAAAGCGAAACTTCTCTCCGCTTTTGCATTTTGACCCGGCAGAAACTTTCGCAGCTTGTCGTCTTCAGTTTGGTTTACTGAAAAAACCCCTACGTTTCACGTTCTTTCAGCAGGGTTTGCTTCGGTCTGATGGAAGTTCACACAAGCGAACCCGATAGCGCAAACAAACTATCAGTAATTGTCAAAATACGCTTCCTCGGCGTCGCTCGAGAGTTGCTGAGAAATTGAAGCTCAACTGTCGACAGTAGGTGCTTTTCCTGAGTGCCCTTGCGGTCGACTTGTTACATGCTCTGCAGGTCAACAATTCAATCGTCAGAAGCGACGGCGGTCACCGCGTTCCCCACCGAGTGGGAGTGGCATTGGGACATGCGCGTGAATTACTGTACAGCGAGACAGACTTGCACAGTATCTACTGCACTACTTCCTCCCTCACCCACCAGGCTCCGGTGGTAAAACACAGTCAAGACTACCGGGGATGAGTGTGGGCGCGCAGGCAGACAAAAATAAACGGCCCGCCTGCGCGTGCCACACGCACCCTTGAACCGACTAGGGCGACCGGAGGCACAGATAACAATGTCACAACGGAGTCGACTGCATCGTGAACAGATCGGCGGCCTCAGTGGGATTCGAACCTACAACAGGAGGGAGAAGGTTTGAGTAGAGCCAACGCTCAAGCCACCTGAGTTACAAAGCCCCACCGAGGGGGGCCGTGAGTTTAATCACAATGGTGGCTGTACCCAAAGCCTTGCCCTTGCTGTCGCGGGTTCGAATCCCAACAAGCCTGCCGCCGAGTTTTTCCCAGCTGAGCCAAATGAATTACTTAAATCCACCAAAAACGCTCTGACACATGGAGAAGGAACTATTGCAGCCTGGCTCTCGGTGCTGAGAAGGACCGAGTCATCCCGCTATTTGGCAACCGTCCAACCTACGACACTCAGGACGCCATGGCAGATGGAAGCGCGTCAGACATAGCATTAGTGTGAATGCGTCAATGGGCCCAGAGAGTCAGGGGGACGTGCGCATAAGCTGCCGTGGCAAGCGCCCATAGCGACTTAGAGGTTGGCTCTGTCTGTGTTTGAAGCCTCCAAAATCTTCCAAACCCTTCTTGTTTTGGTCTTGGCGATGAATTCGGTTTCGTCCCACTCGAAGTCGTGGTCATAGTCTAGGGAGTGCGAAAAAAAGTCGAGCCTGCGGACAGACACTTCGTGTTCATTAATATAAAAAACCCCAAGGATTTGACATTTATGTTCAGTGATCACGCAGCAGCAATTGGCGCATTGGATACAGTAAATGAAATCAGTCCGCTGTTCCTCTGGAAGGCGATTTTTTGCTCGGGCTAGAGATGCGCACGTGGACGATGGCCTGCGGGCGATGCGAATAACAAACCGACTCAGTTGCTGCAGAGAGTTCAACCAAGCCGAGAATCAGCCTTTAATAGTGTACTTGATGATCAAATGAACCCCGTTCAAATCTCCAGCCTTCCCACCAGGGCTTGAGAGAGTGGAATGAACACCTCGCGGAGGTAGGCTTGAGGTGTAAGTGGCTAGCTCATACATACCAACAGCGGGGCATATGTGTAGCGCATACCGCAGAAGTTAACCAAGGTGAGGGGTTCATAACACGACGAAAGGGAGAAGGAGAAGGCGATGAGGCCTTAGACATGCCGACTGATTTTCGGGAGAGATTTATATCTACTTTCTATGCAGGGACAAATAAATAAGCAAAGTAGTAAAGGCAGCGTCACAACAACAAAGAAGAAAAAGAAAGGGCCGTTCTCTTTCAGTAGAAAAAAAGACGAGGTACTGACAACTTAGATCAAAATATGCAAATAACAGCGGAGGGCAGAAGGGGGAGGGCGGTATGTCATGGTTACGGGGAACAGGTGGATATGAGTTGACAAGAGGCAAGGATCCCCCGCTGAAGGAAGGCCGAAAACAGGGTTTGTACAGGGGGGGGGGCAATCTGGTTAGGCACCGTTTTAGATCTCTGCGTATACAGTGGTTGCTAATATTTCTATAAGTAGAATTTACCGCCGCACCTCTAAATGCCATGGCTGGCACACGAAAGGCGGTTGAGTCTGGAGGGGTCGGAGGGGGGAGGGTCGGGAAGAACGACACAGACGAACGCACGGACATGAGAACAACTGTGGGGGGGGGGCGAGGGGAGAATGGACAAGAGCGGATCACAGAAGGCCCCTTCTATAACTTAACTTGACGTATATTTTGGCCATTTTGGAGGATGTTGATGCAAGCGGCCTCAGTCCAGTCGAGAGCGATGGTCGGCAGTTGAGCCTCAATGCAGCCCTGGGCATCAGTCTGGTACTTTCCGTGTGGTTTTGGTGCACTGCCACCCGGTGGCGCAAGAGGCCGGACAGGGTGAACTATGAGGGCCTTCACTTGTTGGCCGCCCATGCCGAAGAGGCCCGAGGTGGACAACTGTCCGGACGAAAAAAAGGAACGTAAATGGACGTCTAATTACCGCTAGCAGTAATAAGAGGAATAGCGAAGGGGGGGGGGGCGAAGGAGGAGGCCGTCGGACTGCTGTCTAATCTGCGACATGCGATGTAAAGCGGGCCAACATGAAATTCGCCGACTAAGAGGGAACAAGCAGTGTCGTCGATTTCCACAAAAAGACACTCTGCTCAACAGCGTTCCAGATTCCGGGAATAGCGTACAGCAGTCACATAATTATGCGCAGAATGGACGGAGACTGGAATGGGGGCTGGTATTGATACTGAGCTGGTCATTCCTAAACATTTTTCCCAGTCACCAGCCAGTTAATTATACACCAAACCAGACATTTAGAAGACACAGGCCTCGGACCAGAGCTCACTTAGTCATTGGGCAAGCACTTCTAACGCGCCGATGGCTGAAACCTTTTCGACTGTTACCAGGACTAATCGCTGTCTCAAGGGAGTGGCCTCCGCCGATCCACCTTGAATACCAGCACAAATTAAAAATCCCACCTTTCACTTGACTGATAAAGTTACGCGATTACTGAACGCCTGGCCGTCTCATCTGCTCGGCGTTGGTTGGCCTCACTGGCATGTGGCATATACGCATGAGATCTGCAATCATCCACCAATTCATTGGCTAGGGTAACTGTCGATGGGGCATTATAAAAAACAAAGTCATTGAACTGAGAGGGGAGGAGGATATTAAATTCCCGAAACTCCTTGTGACCCACGGTGTCCCTTGAATCAAAAAGGCAGTTGGACTGTGAGCTAGAAGACCTGAATAGTACCGATGAAAGTTTTGGACAGGCGATCCGTGGAGAGATGAGGAGCCCGTGTTTAGAACCTGAGTCATATAATCAGTGAATGAGGGAAATTGTGATTAAAGTTCGTATTTCACACAAATGAGATGTGGGAAAGGTGGTGGGAAGGAGTAATTATCCGCGCCTCCCCTCTTGTCGTCCCCAAAACCCAGCTGCTCCTAGCACCTCTTCCCACATCAGGCTTGTGCGAATGGGCAAACTTAAATTGATGTATCCTATCATTGGCGTGCTCTGCTTGACACCGTTCCAAGATAAATATACTACCCTGGTGAGGATTTATCGAAGGCAAGCGTATGCTCGCCAGCCAGAGCTCTCAAAAGCTTTTTCGAACCCACCGGTTTCCTTGACACCACCAAATGCACGAAAAGAATCTCCTTCTCCAAACTCTCATAACCAAATTCTAGGCAAGTTATCACACCTGGCGGCCCACATGGAAGCTCCCCTTATAAAGGATAACAAAGAGTTTAAATAATCGGGGGAGGGTCAAAATGACGTCGGTAAGTCGCTCATACGTTCGGTTTTCAGTTCCAGTTTATTTGAGGGAAAAAAGGTGTTGAACCTTTTGAACTCCCTGTTTGTTAAAAGGAAGCGAATTATATAAAAAGTTTGAAAGTGAAAACATCAAACAGCTACAAAGTTTTTTCAGATTGGCGGAATTTTCGAAACCAGTCAGATAAACGAATTGTTCCGAGGTTTGAAAACATAAAGATAACTAAATGTGCTGAACAGTGGTCAGTATATGGAAAATAGGTGAGATCTCAGTTCCTGAGGGAGGCGAATTGAATGCCAACACTCACACTCAACAGACTTGGGGAAATAAAAAAAAACAAACGTTACTGAAATACAGGCAGTAATATAATAACATGTAACTAGAGTGGATGGCCTCGGAGGTTAGTTGTCGTTGCTAACCCAAGGAAATCGGCAGGAAAGAGACAGCAGTCCCGGCCGCCCATTATACGGGATGTTTGTATAAGAGCACCTCTTAGCTCTTTGTAATTCAGTGGAAAATGGCCGTGATTGGATAACCGTGTTTCGTTGGGTAGTGAACCCTGTCCACTAACGAGTTTGGTTGC